TCTGCTTCGATTGAAGGTATTGCTAAAACAAGCAGTCGGATCTACTTGATACTGTTTCTTAAGTAGTTTTATACTTCTTTCTGTACTTACAGATGCGTTAGATGCGTCTCTATAATAAGATTGTATATCTTTAATTCATTCTCATTAAAATTCTCCATCTTGAAGTACTACACCTAAATCGTTACAATGCTTAAAGATTCGTTATTTCAAAGATTCGTTGTTCAGTGAGTACCTGAATTCGATCGGACTTGAGTAGACGCGAATGATCGAATCAGATGAGTTTTGTCCCCGCCAGCAATTGTATCAAAACATGGCCGGTCTACAACACATAGATAGTGATTAGGCCAAAGCCTAATCACTATCTATGTGTTGGGAATGTGTCTAGATTAGGGGAAGGTTTCTGGGTCTTCTGCCGGAATAGGACCTAGTTAGGTCTGGCGTTGATCCAGGAGAGACCTGAAATCATATGGTCCAGGTCCTGCCAGAGTTGAACGCCTGAGGCCGGACGGTTTTGGAGGAGACATTAAATGCTACTAACTCCTACGTCACCAAAGTAAGTGCAGACCAGTTTGCGCAGTTTTATCGATCGTGTGTATGAAAAATCGTTGTCGATAATCGTTCGTCGGTGGCAGTTTCATTTTCTATCAGATAAATCGTTGTCGATTATATTTGCTCAGTTTTATCGTTGCGTGTGGACGGCGATCGCTCAGTTCGGCAGTACTTCACGGAGCTTGCTAGTGTGCGCACGTGCAGATCACTAAAGCGAGCAGATTTAAATATGCCTCTTCATTCATCCTTAAATAGTTATGCCAATCTTGCGGAGCGAATTTCAACTCGCATAACAAGTTGGTATGAGAAAATTGCTTCCTTTTCATGAGCCAGTCTTTACACCATAGACTCCGCTTCTTTTTTTCTTTAAACACATAACCAGGCCTAATATAGCAAGTGCGTCATAATCTTCCATTGTTAACATGTATCTTGCGCGAGCTTCTGCTGAGAACTGCCCGATCGACGTCGATATCGGAGGCGTGTGGAGGCACTAAGAACGTTCGATTTATCTGCACAGTCTGAAATCGCTACGATAAATCGTTACGTATGTATGAGGCTTTACTGTGACGATAGAGTAGATATTAAATAAACTCACACTTGGGCCTCTGATGAGCCGTCTGCTCATTTGACCCCTGTGCCATTAAAAAATGGTGTAGCTATACAATAAAGATTAAATTGTAATATTTTATGTTATAGTGCCTAAATCTATGGATCTAACGGATTTGAAAAAAAAAAACAATATCGAAGGTGTACGTAATGCCGAAAATAATTGATAAATTTTAATAAATATTTGACTACTACTGATGTGTATAATGGGTGACCAATTTGGTGAATCTTAGATTAAACGATACATATTATATTGACTTATTTTAAATATGCGTGTGAAAGTCCGGCTTCCGTTCGAATAACGGAGAGTAGAAGAAATCGTAATACTTACATACAAAAATTTAGCAAAATAATTAAATAGCTATAAGGTAAAGTTGACGGGCCTGTCTAGTAGCTAGTAACCTTGACTGCTAAATCGGCGGTTGTGGGTTCGATTCCTACCCTGGACAAATATTGTTTGTTAAGCATGATCATTTGTTTTGTGTTGGTATTTTTTTCTAAAATATGTATGTGTTGAGAAATATATAAGTAGGTATGATCAGACGGCCGTGTGTGAGATGTGTAAAGTTATTATTATTAAAGTTTTATTTATAATGTAAAGTAGCAGTCACGTCGTAAATATAATATTATAGACAAAGAAAATAAATACTGAAATTAATTTAGTTTTTTTTCTATACTACCACAATAACAAATATTAAAGAAACAAAAACATTTAATATACAAAGTCTTTAAACGTGTAAAATACATAGATAAAATCACTTTATATTTTTTTATTCAGCATCCTTTCTAATCTAGATAATATTTAAACTATAATCTATTGTCTAAATATTGACTGTGATTTAATTTTCTATTTGCTTCAAAAAAATTACAAAAATAGTCGGCTCTTTATAAGCTTAATACAGCTTTAAAGTATGAGATAATTCAACTGACATTATTTCAAGTGTAATTTTAAAAATAGCTTACAACGATATTTAAAAAAGGAATGTGGACTCTGGCATGCTTTTTATGTTACATCTTACACTCGGCCATCATCACATCAACCAGCCACTGCTGGACTACCTCTCCTTAGAAAGGAGGTTTTGGCTTACTGGCTGACGTGTTGGGATCTATAGGGTTTGTGTCAAGTTGTCCTTCTCTTTACAGTGCTGTTATCCTGCAGAATTTACCTTTAGTCGGCTCTTATGACACCCACGGGATGAATGCGGTGACTTGCCGTAATCTGTATTCTTAATGTGACGTGATGTAAATCTCGCACGTGGGGCTCAGATAGTTAAAGTAAGAAAGTACAGGGAACTTAAAACTTAATGCATATTCAAATCACATCTTGTACGGTAAATTGAATAGTAAAATGGCATTGTACTCATGTTTTTGTCTAAAAGTAGATAGATTTATTTATTTTTAAAAATTGTCTGCATATGTTTTATTTTGATGTTCTTTTATTTTACTTTTTGACTATGTAATCATGATAACCTGTTATCAACAGATTAATAAATAATAATATTTTACCACACTCACACAACGCCATCCAGTCCCAAACTAAGCAGAGCTTACAAAAACATATAAGTACTTTTTTGTAAATGTTCATGCACACAAATGTTTGACTTGAGCGGGAAGCGAACCCACAACCTTTGGAATAGCAGTCCGTTACACAAACCACTACGCCATCCGGTCGTCGATAAAGAAAGCACAATAATACGATCGTTGTTAAGTAATAAAACATATTTTATGTTTTTAAATCTGAAATGCTTAAGAATGTCACTAAGGAATTTGTCTGATCTCTAAAAGGCGTGTTTCTCTAACCCTGACCATTTAGGAATGTTATTTAAAAATTAAAAAATTTCTTAAATTACTATGTGTATTAAAAAGTAAACCTACTTAAGTTTAAACATTTAATATTAAGTATTAAATTATTTTGCCCGCAAGATTTGATACCACTTAACCTTTAAATGGTTATATGGATAGTAGGTGTCTATATCCTCGTACACAGTGATAGTAATAACGTTTCCATATTGCATTTTTTTTAATATCTTACATTATAAAGTATTTCGGTGTTACTTATTAAGTGGAAAACCCTTAGATTTACAGAGTCAATGGTGTTAAAATTAAATTCAGTTAATTCAAAAAGTAAATTCAATTTATGGTACACCTGTACCAAAAAAGATCATTGCGTTCGAGCGACGTTGCGATTGACCCGCGATGAAGTCTACACCAAGGGCCAAGTGCGAGTTTATTTCAATTCTACTTGATAGTCACGGTGACCGCGTTCCGCGGTGCGATTGGCCCCCTTTGAAATCTAAACCAATCGCAACGCAGAACGCAATGATCTTTTTTCACTCATATTTGATTCCTGTAACGGTCAATGTGATAGTGTGTAAAAATAGGAAGTACAGACCCTTTTTAGTCTAAACTAAATATTTGCTGTCTAGATAGCTGATAACGAAGAATATATTTATTAATACGGGAATTGGAGATATTAATAAATATACCTTTGAAATGCCAAAACTTGCCACCTTTCTTTTATACATTCGGATAAACATTATTATAGAGAAACATCCGTTTGCTTACAGACTAGGAACATTGTTGGTATTGTATGTGACGCTACATTTGCGAAACAACAATATCAAACATATCGAACATGAGCGGGAGGACGAAGAACCTTCTACCTCACTGGTTGGACGAAGCGACACCGGAGGAACATAAATAGACTGATCCAGCCAGTCTGTGATCACAACCATAGCAATCTAATGGAAATATTAGGCAATTCAATGGTATTTTATAGCTGTCGATCACTTTAATTCATATTTATCATATTCATATTTATTATGTATTATATCAGGATTTGTACCTCTTTACTTATTTTAATATTTTTATATAATGATATAAAAATATTAAAATAAGTTTTTAGTTACGTGAAACGTTTACGTTTTAGTTACGCAAATAGATATTAAGTTATTACTGATTAGTCCTCTTCCTTTCTCCTAACCTTTTGCTGCGCCCGATAGGGTCCCTAATGGTTCTGCTTTTTTTTATTTTTAAGACCATTTAGGGGATTATGGGAGGTGACCTTAGGCGGCAGTGGTCACTTAGCATCAGGTGACCCGTTTACTCATTTAGCCCCTATCATCATCATCATCAACAGACTATAACAGTCCACTGCTGGACGTATGCCTCTTCATAGAAAGAAGGCTTTAGCCTACCATACCACGCTGACCAGACGGGTTGGAATAGGGTTTATGTCAAGTTTACCTTCTCTTTGAAGTGCTGTCGTTCTGCGTAGTTTGCTTCCTTAGTTGGCTCTTACGACACCCATGCGAAGAATACTGATGATGACACTCCTTATTTTTAATCCGTCAATACACAGACGTAAAACAGGTCCAATTTACGGATAAAAAGTTTTACTTTACAAGCATTTGGACAATCAGGGCTCGCACTTGTTCAAAAACAGATTTTATGTCAGTCTATAGATTCTAGCCGACTACGACAGCTATAATCAAGATGGGACGGTTAATATGGTAAACATTTTTTTTGCTAAAGCTATCAAAGCTCAGCTTCAACCTATTCGCATATTTAATATCATTATCTTTTGCTTAAATACGAGTAGCAGATACTCAAACTCAAATATCTATTATCTATCTACCTATCAAGTATAAAATGTATATAGGTATATGGGGTCGGGCGAAGAATACAGTTTTAAACAAATGTAAGCAGTAGGTATACCGCGAAGCCTGTGCGTTGTTGCGTAGTCATTCGGCGTCAGTGACAGGCAGCGTACGCACGACCCGCGCTTTTTAAATTTATAGTCTGTGAATTTATGTCAGTGATATTTTGAAATGTTAAAATATACAATGAAAAAGTATTGTGCAGAGGGAAGCAAGTTTAATCAAGTCCTTGTTGCGCTACTGAGTAAGTAATATTTTTTTGTATTTTCCATAATAAGTATTGATATAAAAATAAAATAAAATTAAGTAGATTAATTGTCGTGAAAATATTTTCCTAGAAAAAATACTATAGATAAAGAATAAAGTTAAAAAGTTTCATAGAGTTAAAAAAGGAAACATTGAAAAAATAATTATGTTATCAATGAAAAAAATTTTTACAGTAAAAATATTTTGATGAAAAGGAAGAATTTAAAAATATTTATTTGAATTCACTTAATTTGTAGATAATTATTTTTTTTTAGTTTAAAATGTATCTTTATTTGAATTAGAAATGATAATCACACTAGCAAAAAAATAATTTAGGAAATTCATACATTGTCCCAAAAAATTAGAACAGTTGCGACACATTTTCCTATTAGTCCAGAACATTTAACTACACTTATCTAGAATAGTATTGTATACTAAATATAGATAAAATATTAAGTATGTCTTTGGATTAAAACGAAATTTTTAATTATTATTAGCTTTTAAAGTATTTTTCCAACCTGGGATGGTTAAAATTTATTTCTTTATTTTTATTTTGTTTTAAGTTGTAGGTTAAGTGTATGCAAAATTTCACAAATAACGGTAGGGAAGCGCATAAAATACCAACAATAAATTTGACAAAATAAAAATAACAAAGTTAATTGTTATGTAGTATTTAATCTGTTTATTACTTGGGTATTAATACATCTTATATTATACACCTAGCATTTTTAACAAAAAGACAGAGAGAATATTATTTGAATCTTTTATTCTTTTTTAAATATTTTTAGTCTGTGAATAAAATATAATAATTATTTTTATGTTGAATTTAACTAATAGTATAATGGGCTCTTCTTAATATTTTCTGGACAAACAATTTAATCTTATAAAAGGGTTTCAGGAAATTTGGTTTATAAAAACTAAAATAGCGGACCGTTATTGGCTGGTTGATTTACAATTTAGCATACCGTGGTCTTTTGTGACAGTCACTCCCATAATACCGGGTACCTAAACATCTAATCCAATTTCTACCACATTATTCTGTTCTACTGTATTGCTGTGGGTTTGATCCCCATATGAGACCACACTTTGTGTGATTCAAAAATTGTTGTTCTGAGTCTGGGTGTTCTTATTGTCTATTTCAGAAATGTTTGTAACCCCTCCCTTCGATACAACTTTACTACTTTTTGTAAAAAAAAAACAACTTTTACCATAGTAGTCGTAGTAGGATAAATTAAGTAGTAGTAGTAGGATAAATTAATCGTAGAGCTTACTCAAACTTAAAATAAATTTATTTCAATATTTTTTCAATTGTTTGAAATCGTCTCGTATGTAGACTCTAAAGTCAGAAATCAACATACACACAATGGCAATAATCTCCATTTTGTCAAAAAATTAAACTTATTCAAAATCTATGATATGCCTGTGCCAATCTACAACCGCCCGTTTCCAAGGGGTTGAGCCTTATGAGAAGAAAGAGCAAACAAACTCATGGCCACTCTTTTGGAATGTACAGATAGATACAATGGCATCATTAAATATACCACAACATTGTTTTGATGTGTGTCAGTATGTCCTTTATTAAGGACTAAAAGGTAAAAAGACAATGAAGAGAAAACAAGATTAAGAAAAAAAATCGAATAAAAGAGAAAATGAAGTGAAACTTTTTTTTAATAAATACACTAGTCCACACCACATTTCTACTTAAGAAATAGCCTGAGCTCAATTAATCCCAAGCATTTTAGTCTTCTATGTACTCCACAATTGACTTAAACTGCGATTCACAGAAATCTTTACCTAGCATTTCTTTTAGTTGACCCGCGCTAGTCATCAGTATTTTTTCCTTATTTTGCAATTCAATCTCTTTCTGAATATAAACAATAGAGTAAAATTAAAATAAAAGTGTTTTTTATTTTTAATTTTAAATGTTGTTATTATCTTTAATTGGAATGATATATAACCTATCTATAATTTTTGTGTGAGAAATGAAACCGTTTTTTGTACACAAATGCATTACATACTCGTATATATAAAAATGTATACATGTTTATTAACCAATTCTATCATTGATTTTTCCGAGTGAGTGAGGTTACCGGAGTTCAAACGCCATTTCCCAATTCTGAATCTCAGAAACTTAAAGGGAAGCAATGCATTCGTGACTCTCCAGATTCAGGTGGACAAGGACGGCGGTAGTCACTTACCATCAGGTGACCAGCCTGCTCATTTGTCCCGCTATATCATAAAACTACATAGTTTTGATGATAATTCTATAATTTGTTAGTTGTTAATTACTGATCTTAGCCAGGATATGCATAGTGGAAATTTTCAGTAGCTACCGATAAACCCCTCAGCCCCCTCCCCCCTTCAGTACCACATATAAATGAGATTTTGCTAATGTCATTCATTTTGACGAGTCCAACAGAGCATTGCAACCATGATCCGATGATGAAACAAAGAACAGAATAATTAAACTAATTTACTTCAATTTGGTTTTAATTCAAGGGTTAAAGTGATTTTTGGTTTCCAAAAAAATACGCTTCTTAATATTATTATATTTGTTTTTTTTTCTTATTATATAAATTGTTCTTATTATTGTATTTTATTCAAAAACCATAAGGTACTCGTAGATTGCTCATATAATTCGTTTCAACGAGTCCTCCAGATTGGGCTGGGTAACGGTGATCTGATGATGTAAATTATCATCAGATCACTGTTACCAAGCCCAATTACCCAATTACTAAGCTAAATTACGCGTGTTTTTATTTATTTTCAAATGACACCATCGATAAATATCACTCCTGTCATCAGAATATTTAACACTCGTACTCGTATTACGATTGATTAAAAAAATTGTATAATAAATGATAAATTTAAATATGGGAGTAAAATTTTATTAGAATTATTTTAAATGTTTATGTTTTTAAATTTGTGTTTTGTCATAGTAATTATAATTTATACTAACATTAGTATATAAGCAAACTATTACTAACATAATATGAAAAAAAAAACTGAAATAAATCATTATTATTATATTATAATTAAGTTAAATGATATCTATTTTTGTTTGTAGAAAATGTTAAATTCTCTAACATTCTGCGACTCCTTCTCGGTTTTTGATTCTGGCACTTAGTTTTGGGACCCATACCTCTGATTTTTATCGATCATCGCAGAACTCTTAGCTAGGCTATACTTAGCTAACTAGCATACTATGAGTCTCCTTTCAGTTGCTATGACACTTTTATAGGCGACATATAAAAAGCTCTATAGATTTCTAATTGCTTAAATTAGAATTTTAAATATGCAGCATAAGTCTTCTTAATTGTTTAATGCGTTGATTTGTAGCTAAAAGGATATGTCAATAGTATAAAAATATTAAACTGGACTCCTAGCGTTCCAAAGATTAGGAAGACAGATAGAATAACGACAAGAAGATGATGCTATCCAGTATGGAACCCCAAAAATATAAGTACGATCGTATTCGAACAAATTTTCCTTTGTATAAACTGCATGAAATTTTGTTGAATATCATTGTCGGTTACAGCGGTTTCATATTTTGTAAATATATTATGGGAAAGTTTTTTACGTGTAATCTCGTACATTGTTATAACAACTTTTTTATAGTATAGTAGGACAGACGAGAAGACGGGTCACCTGATGGTAAGTGATCACCGTCGCTCTTAGACACCTGTAATTCAAGCAAACCTATATGGTGTAGTAAGATAATATTATATATATTATTTTGTCAATATAAATATTTATATTGTCAAAGAAATCCTATTGCGGCGAAATCGTGAACATACTCACCGGTATTTAAGTAGTTGATTGGATTGGCAAATATTACTAACCTGTTGGTTAGTGACTCTGACTGCTACGCCAGAGGTTGCGGGTTCGATTTCCACCGAGGACAAATAATTGTGTGATGAGCACGGTCATTTGTTCTGTGTCTGGGTATACTATATCTATAATATGTATGTATTTAGAAATATATAAGTCTGTTTATAAGCAGTCTGGTTACCATAGTACATGCTCTGCCTAATTTGGGATAAAATCGGCCGCGTGTGAAATGTGTGAAAATATTATTAATAGGTATTATTTGTTTCGGATTTAGGGTGATTTCTATGTATAATATGTATGTATATACATATTCTATCAGTTAATCTAGCTTTCATAGTACAAGTTTGAAACTAGACGGCGTTGTGTTAGAAGTCCGAAATATTATAATCTATACTAATATTATAAAGCTGAAGAGTTTGTTTGTTTGTTTGTTTGTTTGTTTGTTTGAACGCGCTAATCTCAGGAACTACTGGTCCGATTTGAAAAATTCTTTCAGTGTTAGATAGCCCATTTATCGAGGAAGGCTATAGGCTATATATCATCACGCTAAGACCAATAGGAGCGGAGTACCAATGAAGAATGTTTTAAAAACGGAGAAAATTTATTACTATTGAGAGACGCAGACGAAGTTGCGCGGGTCAGCTAGTTACCTATAAAGCAGCTTCATAATGCTGAAAGAATTATGATTTCTCATCATCATCACATCAACAGCCCTTAATAGTACACTGCTGGACATAGGCCCACCTTAGAAAGCAGGTTTCAGCCTACTATACCACGCTGGCCTGACGGGTTGGTATATGGTTTGTGTCAAGTTTTCCTTCTCTTTGCATTGCTGTTGTCCTGCGGAGTTTGCTCCCTAAGTCGTCTCTTACGACACCCGTAGGATGAATAGGGGTGATGACACTCCGTATTCAAAATCCGTCACCACACGGACGAGATAATATCAATTCAGTTAAATTCAGTTTAATTGATGTCAAATAAACATTTTTTTTTTGGTATTATTTAATGAATATCTTTTATAAAATAATAACCGGTTTACAATAAGCACTTGGCAAGCACTTTGGAACTTGCTGGCCAGCAGACCGACTAGTGTTCGACTCAGAACTAACAATAATTTAATGTAATATTATAGGGGATTAAATATATTGACCACCGATAAATAAATTA